AAGACCCGAGAACTAGAAAGGAGAGGCTCACCGAGCCATTTATCCCTCCGCCTTTCAATTAACCCCACATGTGTTTATCGGCCAGGTTGGCACAATAAATTAACTACCTCACAGTTATAGTCTCAGAAACACACGGGGCCAAATCTAACCTATCCTGTAGGGTCACTGTGAGTCGGGATCCATTTGATGAATCGAGTTTGTTTTTATTTTGGTTGGGGATAGTTTATCAGCATTATTTGTTTATTTCTCCACCTCTTTTCACTGGTTCTGAATTAAAATTGTTTAATGCTCCTGTTTCATGAGAGAATTGAGATAATTTATTGTTGACATTTCATTGCTCTGGCACGAATGGTCTCTTGCAGTGGACTTCTTTTCTGCACACTTGCTGCTTGAACTGGGGTCATACATGGGCACTGACTCGCAGGTGGGAAAAACCTTGTTGTTGTCTTGTTTTTCCAGCAATCCCCAAAGTGAGGCTGGAGACGGTCTACATCTGTGGAGTAGATGAGATGAGCACCCAGGATATCTTTTCCTACTTTCGAGAGTACCCTCCAGCCCACATTGAGTGGTTAGACGATACCTCCTGTGAGTACCTCCCCGTTTTCTGCTGAACATGCTTTTGTTTATGACTTTCAGAGCGTCCTGGCATGCTAACGTCATCAATAATCACGACCCAGACTGCTTACTTGTCTGTTCCTAACCGTTTCCCTAAGCCCAGGAAAGCCAGCAGTTGTCCACGGATGAGAACCACCCTCTCACCGTGATGAATGTCTATGCTGAGCAAATTATCTGAGAGCCTGGACTATATGGAGAACGTGGCATTAGGACGGGAGGCTGTGACCCTGCGATGGGCAGCTGACACGGCCTTGCGTGCTAGAAGCCAGGAGGACGTGGAGCATTTGCTGATGACGATCAAGCACCACAGCTTTCAGTATGGATTCTAACTCGATGTCAAGAAAACCCAAGTCCTCCCACCTTGATCAGTAGATGACATCATGATACACGGAGAAAAGCCTGGAGTTAGGATTTTATTTTGCTCAGATCACAGTCATTGATCTTGGAAGCAGCAGTGAAGAAATCAAACTCCCGATTGTGTTGGGTGATCTGTTGCATAAGACCTCTTTGATGTGTTGAAGGGCAAGGATGTCGGTTGGAGGATTAGGGGATAACTGATCCAGGCCACAGTATTTCAGATTACCTCCAATGCATGTGAAATTTGGACAGTGAATAAGGAAGACTAAAGAATTGTTGGATTTGAATTATGGTGTAGGTGAAGAATATTGAAAAAACTACAAAAACATATCTATCCTGGAAGAAATATAGCCAGAATGTTCCTTAGAAGTTAAGATGCCAAACCATCATCTCACATACTATGGACATGTTAGCAGAGAACACTCCCTGGAGAAGGGTATCATGCTTGGTAGGGTAGAGGGTCAGCAATAAGGGAGAATGACCCTCAACGAGATTGATTGACACAGTGGGTGCAACGTGGGGCTCAGATGGTCACCTGTGAAGATGGTGTGGAGCTGGGCAGTGTTTTCTTTTGTTGTACACAGGTCATTGTGAGTCAGAACCACGTCAACAACCCCCCACAACAACAACCGGGCCATGTTCAGGACCGAAGTCAGTTTACAGACCTTTCTGCCCGCAAACTGAAATACAGGGGTAGCAAAGTGGAGAAATACTCTTTTAAATAGAGCTAAACAGGGTTTTTGGTTTGTTTAGTTGTTTTCTATAAACTTCTCAAAGCTCTGCAGGTCTACCTAGATAAGATAGGCTGGATAAGCAATCTGCAGGAGAAAACAATGGGACCAACCGTTTCTGGGGGACATGGGAGAGGCAGAGGTGGGGGAAAGGAAGTGGTGTAAACAAACCCAGGGACAAGGGAACAACAAGTGACCCAAAATCAGTGGCAAGGAGGGTGTAAGAGACCTGTTAGGCATTGATCAATGGCAATGTAACAGGGAGAAAATACTGAAACCCAAATGAAGGCTCAGCATGATAGGGGGACAAGAGGAAAGTAAA